CAAGAAAGTCGCAGCCTCGACAAACAAGAGGGAGTTGCACGCACTTAGACAGGCACTAGACCATTGGCGACATTATCTCCTAGGCCGACGCTATAAAGTGTACTCTGATCACGAGACACTTGGATGGTTGAAAACGCAGGCCCGTATGACCCCTCAGTTGACTAGATGGCCTGCGCAAATCGATAGGTATGTAGTCGTCTGACTTCCAACAGGTACATCAAACAAACCAGTTGGATCTCACCGGTAACCATGCATAAAACTACTCTAGTAAAAAGACGATGTTTTTCAACAAAATATGATAGATTTTCAAAAGGCTATTAAAAAAACATGACAATAGAAAGGTCTCTAGTAGATCAGTGGTTAGAGCAAATGGTTGTTAAGTGTGCCTAGCAAGAAAGTCGCAGCCTCGACATACAAGAGGGAGTTGTACGCACTTAGACAGGCACTAGACCATTGGCAACATTATCTCCTAGGCCGACGCTATAAAGTGTACTTTGATCACGAGACACTTGGATGGTTGAAAATGCAGGCCCGTATGACCCCTCAGTTGACTAGATGGCCTGCGAAAATCGACCAATTTGAAGTCAATCGAAGGTAAGTATAACGTTAGTCAATAGTGAAGTACTTAGGCGCAGGCGCCGACCTGCAGCAGAAAATCAAGGCTGTTTACGTGAAGGACCTCGTCTATAGCGACTTTATTGGGAAAGTACAGACCGCGCCTCACAGAGTCCCGGATTACCGAATGGCTAACGGACTGTTGTTTGAGAAGACCAATGTGATAGGTTGTGCGCCCTGAATGATAAAGAAATTCGCAATCTGATTTAGGGGAATGCCACGACACCGAAGGACGTATTGGATGGAGGAAGATGTATGCGACCCTCCTTCGATCCTACACATGGCCCGATAGGAAGCACGATTGCATCATATATATATAAGGCTGCAAAGTCTGTCAGCGGAGCAAAAGTTCCACACAACCTCCCCTAGGACTGTTGAAGCCCTTGCCTATCCTTTCAAGCCCCGACGAGTCCATGTTGATCGCTTTCATGGACACAAAGGTTAACAGTAGGAACGAAAAGAGTCAAGTGATGGTTATCGTAGACAGATTCAGTAATCTCTCCGTTTTTGTTCCGTTACCTGCCAAGGAGAAGCCGAAGTTAGTCATTAGAGAGCTTTTTAACCACTGGGTCAAGGACTATGGGCACCCCTTGAAGATAGTTAGCGACAGTGACACTAGGTTTACAAGTAAGCACTACCAGCAACTGATGAAAGTCTATGGGTCTAAGTTCACCATGTCGTCAAGGCGACACCCCGAGACTTTAGGCCGAACAGAAGAGATGACCAAGTTGCTGCAGCAAGTGCTATGGATGTATATAAGACCAGACCAGGAGGATTGGGACGAGAACCTCCCTAAGGTCGCAAGTGCATATAACAATTCAGGACACGTAGCTAGCTCACGGACGCCTAACTAACTACATAGAGGATGGCGTCCTAGTCGGCCTATAGTTGTTTAAACCCAAAGCATATTCAAAGATTGTCACCTGATACAAGGGAGTTTGCCAAAAAGTATGAGAAGGACTCGAAACGCATCCCTGAGAACATTAGAAACGTCCAACACTAAATGATAGACCAAGCTAATAAACACCGCAGGCCGTCACAGTTTGTTGTAGGTGACATGGTTTGGGTAAAGTCCAAGGAATTCCTCCCCGAAGAAGGCATATCGCAGAAGTGTTGCCAACTTATAGAGGACCTTGGCATACTCTCGACATCATTGGGGATGCGGACAATCCCTCCTACACCATAGAGATCCCACCGCATCTGCACAGTTATCCCGTTTTCCACGCGTCCAAGTTACTTCCCCATACGACCATTGATGAGTTTCCGTCACGGAGGCACGATATGGTATTCACAGTATCGTAGCTGAAGATGTCTACCAATCAGGACGAAGGGGGCGGCCCCAACGACAATAAAAAGTTAGATTTGCATACCAAGAGCCTGAAGAAGATCACTGGTTTACAAGGGACGAGCTTATAGAAATTGCACCCGATATCGTTTCCTATTATGAGCGAGCAAGGAAAGGGATCAATCTCACAGATAGGTAAAGATTGTATCTTTCTCGGAGGATATTGAAATAAGGCCGGCGGGAGTGAAAGGATTTCACACTGCAGACCCCTGACAGCCCGACACCAAATCCCAAAGATTCCGAACGAAGGGGACGACCCCAGTGACAATACGAAGTTAGATTTGCATACCAAGACCCTGAAGAAGATCGCTGGTTTACATGGGACGAGCTTATAGAGATTACGCCCGATATCGTTTCCTATTATGAGAGAGCGAGGAAAGGGATCAATGTCATAGATTGGTAAAGATTATATCTTTCTTGGAGGACCTTGAAATAAGGCTGGCGGGAGTGAAAGGATTTCACATTGCAAACCCTTGAAAGCCTGACACCAAATCCCGAAGGTTCCGAAAGTTTCAAGTCCCAAGTCTGTGGGTTCAATAGAGTAGGCCCGATAATCCAGTAGGGGTGTCGTAGGTCTCCAAGTGGGCCCAGCATAGGGAGAGGTTAAGTGGATGTGCAGTCACACCGGTACCAACAAAAAAGTCTGGATGGTTGAGTCGTTGTAGAACCAGTCCGGTTGTAGTCTGAGTCTGTGAGAGCGGCAGAGACAGGAAGAGATATGCATATTTTCTTTCGTTAACACTCCTAAAAAAAACAGCGGTCCTCGAGTGACGCTTCACGCAGGCCCACCAAAAAGATGTTTGGGAGGTGGTACTGGTAGGGCGTGGCCCGTTCAGGAAGCGCCCAGGTGTCGGTTTTGTTTTTTTTTCGGTTGTGGGGAGCCCGATTTTTTGAGTGCGTGTGGAGCTTCTATTTGAATGAAGGCACGGGCGCTGTGATGGGGAAAGCGCGCCACACCAATGAACGACAGGATGAGCGCCATGAGGAGCGGGAGGAGGGAAAGGCCGACAAGCGCGAACAGGGGAATAAGTAGGAGGGGAAGGATGGCGAAGAGAAGTTGGGGGGAGGCAACAAGCAGGAGGAGGAGGACGGTGCGTCTCACTCCACTACTCGTCACCTGCAGAAAAGAGGAAAATTATGGCCGTGTATCCTCCCATGTTCTAGTGGAAGATTCATTCTCATGTTATACAATTGGTGAGTAGTGGAGCGAAGCCTAGTAACGGGAGGAGGAGCGGGAGGAGGCAAGGCGGGATGATGAGCAGGAGGAGGAGGGGGAAAAGGAGTGGAAGGAGGAGGCCGAAGACAACAAAAAAGTTACGGTCGTGTATCTTCCCATGTTCTAGCAAAAGATTCATTCTCATTTTGCAGATTTGGTGAAGAGTGGAGCGAAGCCAAGTAACGGGAGGAGGCGCCATGAGGAGGACCGGGAGGGGTGGGATGACAAGTGGAAGAAGGGGAAGGAGTGGGAGGACGACGAGCGGGAGCAAAAGACTGCGCGGGTGTGTGCTTGTGTGTGGAAGAAAGAGGACGGCGAGCGGGAGTGGAAGGAAGAGGACGACGAGCGCCAATAGGAAAAGGAAGACAACGGCCAGGAGTGGAAGGAGGGGGAAGACGGAGCGGGAGTGGAAGGAAGAGGACGACGAGCGGGAGCAAATGGACAACGAACGAACGACCAGCGGGAGGAGGATGAGGAATGGGAGGTGAAGGAACGGGAAGAGGAGGAGCTGAAGTAGGACGAGTAGGAGGACAAGCGGGAGGACTAGGAGGGTGATTCATAGAAATAGAGGGGGAGGACGACAAGCGGCAAGAGGTTGACGAGCAGGGGGAGGAAGAGATTGGGGGCCTTGGGAGGAAGAGGCAGCAGAAGCGGAAAGAGGAGGGGGAGAATGAGCCGTGGGAGGACGAGGAAAAGTAGGGGATGATGAGCCGAAGGAGGATACGGCAGGAGTTGTCCAACGAAGTCGAAGACGGGGACATGGGATGAGGATGCAAGAGGAGGACGTTGCAGTTTCGGCTGCTTCTTAGTGCGGTGTGTGTGTGTGTGTGTGTGTGTGTGTGTGTGTGTGTGTGTGTGTGTGTGTGTGTGCAGTTTCGGCTGCTTCTTAGTGCGGTGTGTGTGTGTGTGTGTGTGTGTGTTTGTGTGTGTGTGTGTGTGTGTGTGTGCAGTTTCGGCTGCTTCTTAGTGCGGTGTGTGTGCTGTCTCTTATACACATCTAGATGTGTATAAGAGACAGGGCCTTCCCTGGGGACCCATCTGTTGTGTGGCTGGGTGCTGTTAGGAA